TCATTTCTCTGTGATTACATTTTAGACTCTTGTGAGCAAACTTTGTTTTTGGTTTATTATGGTTTTTCAAGAACACATACATTTTTCCAATGAGGCATTGGTAATACAATATTAAGGATACACAAGACTTCTCTTCATTTGAAAGAAGCTTCTTCTAAGGTATGTGTATAAGAATAAAATCAATCATCTGAACACCAAGTTGTGGCAGCTCTTGTCACACGGGTACGGGCAATCGACTAACTTCACTTCCGCTCTATCGAAATACCAATCTCCTACGGCTATTGCAACCGCCTACATACCATACACAAAGTCTAGATTCAGTATTTTTGCAAGATTCCGACGAAACAGCCTTTGATTTGTGTGTGAAAGGATTTGAGCTTTTACCTTTTTCTTGATGACAGGGGAATCATCGGCGAACCAAGTATCTTGCCTTTCGGTTTGGCAATGAGCAAAGCAAGAATTGACGAACAATCCATTCTGTCTAGACATTGAGAATCCCCTCACTACTCTCAGCATCTGATCCCTGAATCCTGTTTTCGGTAAAAAGATTGAACGATTAAGAGTGATGCGATGCTTTAAAATGTGAAAAGTAGACAAGTTTTATGATGTTTAGAAAAACCTTGCAAGAACCGCACTTGTGCAGGAGTACATTTCTCATGGTTTAATCTACAGTCATGCCAAAATCCACTAGGATCCGCTGATGTTGGAGCTATACTGCTTTGAATCTGATTAAAAAGTCATTATAAAGACTTGTTGTGTGAGCAGCCTAACTATCAAAGCACAATAACTTCTTCTTATACCCCAAGAAGCAATGTCGGGTTTTCGAATAGAAAAATGGACATTACCTGCCATGTATCATATGCTGCATTGACAATAAAAAGCGGAGTTTTCATCTGACTGATCAGATTTTGTGGGAAGAAACACTGTACAGAAAAGATGAGTTATCAAATACAAGACTTTGAATGGTCACTCTTCGGTTTGCAACAGCATAAGGATGAGGGAGGAAAAAGGATTACCGAGGTTGGATCGAGATGGTTTGTGCATATACGAGGCAGGTTGTTCTTCACATTCTGTAAATGGTAAAATCTCATAATTTGTCAAGAAGATTTCAAATGTAAAGTAAAAAAGCTGTGTGCTTGAAAGAGGAATCCCACCTGAAATTCGACTACACCATTGTATAAGGTCCTGATCGTGCGGCCACCAGAAACATCAGCTCTATAGTAAAGAGATGCAAACAGTCAATATCAGTTACTAAATCAAGGGAAAGGGAAATAGCTTTTACACAGACTTTGAGTTGGGAGAAAGATAAACTAACGTGTCCAAGAACAAGCCTGCATCACTCAAGCACTTGACTTTGGTGGATCCAGGGAACAAGTTCCTAAACTCATCGCAGCGTAAAATTGCTGCTAAACCACCAGCAGAGCAACCAGAGAGAAGTGCCTGATAGAATATGAACAGTTAAAACCACTCTTGCCTTTTGATACCTGAGCTGTTTAAGAGACTAAGAGAAGGTTAAGTGTCAAACCTGGTTTGCGTATCGCATTCCTTTTGCCTTCAAATCATCTATCGCGGCTCTCCAGATACGCTCTCCTCTAAACTGAAGTTGTGCAGCCTGAAAACAAAAGTTTGAGGTAAAGAGTTCTATTTGTCTTAGTTCACAGATGTTACACAAAGCCAAAAGCTGCTTAATTCTACAGATTTAAGATCGAATCAAGCGTTGTCCGCAGCTAACTACAGAGTTCCACAGGTCTAGAAAATGGCAAGTTGCTCCAAAGCCACTCATGAACTCTATTAAACTCAAACATTTAGTGATACAAACCTGATTCTGACCATCTCCACTAAAAGACGCGCCATCGCAGTAACGAAGCTTAACTCTATTCCAGTTGAAGAAGTCTGCAAAAGACAAGCAAATGACAATGAGCATCAAATTTACATTACAGTACTGACATGAGCAAAACTTAAACAAAGATCGAGGCGATACCAGGATTTTCTTGAGCTTTATCACTCAGTATCCCAGTAAACTGAAGCTGTTTCTCCATATAGTTAGAGGATCCGCGTCGCGTCTTCTTCCGGTATACACAGGTCCTGACGTTGTTGCACCATCCTCCTCCCTGATTCACAATTTTTCAGTTGCAAAACATTAAACAATGGAGACTTAAATATAGCACTTTTCATAGACAAGTCAACAAATCATTCATTAAACCTCCAATTGAATGAGCCAACTATTAGCTCCAGTTCCATGTCCACGATGCAAGTGATATCCAGGCAATGTTCCATCCAAACAAACTGTAAGCAAGACACAACCAAGTAAAAACAGATCAAGATTCAACTACTGTTCTGTTTTCTCAAAGGACACATCACAATATAACATTAAACTCCTTCTAACTCTGTTCATGTGAGCATAAGTTACCGTAAATTAAAGATATATAACATATTAAATCACATGAATTTCGTTTTTATTTACATTTTCAAGCATTAAAACAAGGGAAAAAGAAAAGCAAAGGAATCTTGAAGTATACATAACAATAAACGTAAAAAACAAGTTAAATCTGGAAGGGGACAACAGAGGAACAAACTGATAAGAATGTAGTTGAAGCGAGTAAATGAAAAACAAAAGAAACTTTTTTTTTTCTTTTTGCCATCAGAAAACCTCATAAAAGT